CTGAACGTAAGCGTCATTCCCATTGTTATTACAATATCATTATTGTGCAACCATACACACATACCGCTTCCAGCATCACCATGAGCAGCAACGAAATCGTTTCCGAACCCGAATACCTTCGCAGCGTTGGCACATTCGACAGCCTCAGCACAGAAGTCAATCCAAAAGACAGTCAAGATGATGAATCGCCTGTCAAAAAAGTGTTGGGGCGGATTCAAGAAGGCGCTGCTGCCATTTTCTCCTGTGGAAAGGCTGGTGATGTCGACGATAAGCAAGAAAAGGTGAAATCGAGCACGGAATCAATATGAGAAAGAGCATAGGGATTTGACTCTTCGCTCTCAAATTGATGTACAAAAGGATGAGCCAATAATCAGGATCTGAGGGAGTAGATTTAGGCACATTATGTGACAACGTGACATTCATCAGGAAAGTCAACCCATACTTTCTTGATTGGAGATCATACATCACCAGCAATGTCTCATTTTGAGCTACTGTACTTTACTGTCCTGGTTGTTTGCCATTCCCGAGGATTCATTCATTCAGTTTTGGGGGTAATTGTACACTATACGATCACTGCAACCATACTACTTCTTGTTGATACAGTACCCACACATATATATCATTACTCTTATTTAGCATCTTGTATTCATACCAATTCTTTTGCATTCAAATCAATGAGCCACTTTGAACTTTTGTAGAATACAATACTTTCGTCTGATAGTAGCAGGATCGTGCACCTCAGCTTGTGTGACATCTACTTTCATATCAGCTAAGACCATCTCTTTCTTTTTTCATACAGTACCACAATATTGTTATCACCACCAGACTGCAGCTAAAGAGTATTCTGCTTTATTCCTGTATAATTGTATACTTGTACCCTACCCCTATGTATTTGTAAGTTTAGTATTTTATGATTATTTATTACACGGTAGTACTGTAGTATAGTCCTATACTTCTTCTCATCCAGCAAAAGTCATTACATCGCTGCACATGCGACTAGCAAGTGGCCAAGTATGATTGAAATACTTCCACCATATTGTATAAGACCATCTCGAGTTCTTTTCTTTGCCATCCAAGTTTCCATTGTGTGCCATGGACATGTTGAATCCATTCCGTCTCATATCCCAAGCTCGTTCGGGTGCCACCATGGCGGGAACAACCGTGACCGCAATTTGATCGTCCCATTGCCGACTGAACTTGTATCCCTTGTGTTGGGTCAGCAATCGATTCATTTCCAGATTGACAGGATCTCGGTAGACATCTAAATCGGTAATGTGGAACATTCCATGAATCAGTCCAAATCTAGTCAGCTTGTTTTGGTCCTCCTTGCAGGGAATGCTATTGAAATGACCGTCGGCCGTCAGCTCGAGTTTGCACACGGCACGATTGTCATAGGCCATTTTCATCTTTTCAATCAACATGGAATTCCCACAACTTCCTTGTGGAAAGTTATCGTACATGACCACCAAATCATTGTCCACCATGGTCGTCAAAGGATCTCTTGGCCATGGCTTGGTGGGCAGGGCATCATTGTCAATCCAAATCATGTGTTTGTAGTCCTTCAAGGCAGGGTGGTTCCACAAGTGGGTCGCTCGGAATTCTGCCTGCCAGAGATAGGACAAGGTGGCATGACCGGCACCATGTTCGTGACACCACCAATCCCAATGCAATTTGGACGAATCCTTGCAACAATTGGTCTTGTGACAACATTCGCAACGACTTTCCAATTGTTCTCGTTCTTCTTTGGGCATTTTGTCCAAAACATCCGCCAGTGGTTCCGAGTCAATCACCACGGTAAAGTTGGCAGGGTATGCCCATCGTTTGGCCCGTTCCAAGGCCTTCTTTTTCCACGGCAGGGTACTGAAAATGATCCACGGATAGTTGCGATCGTAATTGTAGGCGGCTTTCATCAGACACATGTTTTGAACGACGCTCCCAATAAAGGGAGACGACGAATGGACCTTGCTGACCAAGGCTACCTTGTCGTAAGTTTGAGGTGGAGCACCATTGGCGTCACTCCATTTGGTGCGTTGTTCGGCCGCTAGTTGATCCCAAACCTTTTTCTCTTCGGGATCGTCCAATCGCCAATCTCGACCCAGTTGTTTCCATTGAAGGTTGCGGGCGCGATCTTCTTCCGTGTAGGTAAAGGGCTGGACCAGTGGTTCTGGAATTTTGGGAATGGTACCATGATTTATGACCGTCGATGTGGCGGTGGTGGCAGTGGCGGCAATGGTGGTTGTGGTATCAGGAGAATCGTCATCGGTTGCCGGTGCTGGCGGTACAGGTTCTGCTGGTGCCGCCTTGGGGGCAGTCTCGGGATTTGCTTTTGGGGCCGTTTCTACGGCATCATCATCATCCTTGGCTTCGTCCACATTGTTATCATTGGTCGTTATTTCTTGTCTTCTACGAACCATTGTTTGTGTTGCAGCAGTATTCGTAGAGGAAACGAGTTCCGCTTTGGTTTCTTGGAGTAATTCCAACAATTCTGATCGTATTAATGACTTGAGTTCATCTTTTGGAATACTACCAGTAATAGTATTAGTAGTACCACTAGTGGTAGCAGTAGCGGATGCATCATCGCTGTTTTCTGCACCTATCGTTTTCAAGGCAGGAGCGTCGTGATGGTTATCAGAATGTGAAAAATGAGACTCGTGCTGAACCGCCAAGGATCCGTCATGAGAGACTTGAAAATTTAGGACTTGCATTCCAAAGAAGCACCCCAGGACGAATATAAAGACCGATCGTTGAAAGGATTTACCATTGCCGATGCTGCTGTTGTTGTTGATGTTATTATTAGTGGAAGGCGCACTCATGCTGTTGCTTCGGTTGGTGCTCAGTTTGGGAGACCTTGATGTGCCTGACATTTTTGGACGCTGGAAGGCTTTCTGTCGGAATTCAGCTATATAGTGAAGTAACCAAGGTTCTATTGGAAGCAACTGATGTTGTTTTGCACTCTGTATTGCGACGCGGCTCGAGTATAGGGGTTGGAATAAGGAGCTACCTGAGGATGGTGCCAAAAAATAATAATAAGATAGCGGGTTTTAAAATTGCGGTGAAATGACTTCAGTCGAATGGGTCGGAAATGACCAAATTGTGGTGTTCTTGCGTGTGTGAAGGGCAGACGAAGAAAGGAGCTTGGCCATACCTTTTATCAGATTACACTTCGGACCGAATACCTTTTTCGAACCTTTACTCTTAGATATGTTATTGTTCTTCATTACTGTTGTGCCTGTACGTGCACCGATAGCGATCGATAGCTTGCATCATTCCAATATAACATAATGCTTACAAAATCATGGCTTCTTTTCCAGCATTATCAGTTGTCATGATTGGAGGCCTCTTCTTTGCGCATATACTACCGTACACTGAAGCTGTACAAACTTGAACTTCTCCTCACACAAAATAATTTAGTTTGTCAAATAGTATTGTACCTCCCAGGATTAGGCTGTGCGGATTCCGTTATTGTTTGACACGTTCAGTTGGAGGAGGCCTAAGCCTCTTTTTGTGTGGCCTACTCCCACGCATCAAGGCCTTCAAGAAAACACATCAAGGTACAGTAGTATAGGCCTTCCTAGAGAGATCTTTCGTCTTTGGAGATCATAAATATTGCATTGTCCCAGGTAAGTGTATGATATTCATTCATACTGTCGTGGATGCCGCATCAAATCTCATGATGACTCTTACTTCGTCATATATTGTACGTGTGTACCGTATTATGCATTGAAAATAAAGGTACAAATAACAACAACAACAAGGAATCAGCATGACATCCAACAATAATAATAAGACTGTTCCCGTGACCATCTTGACTGGATTCTTGGGATCTGGCAAGACCACGCTGCTCAACAACATTCTCAATGACAGCACGCATGGTATGAAATTTGCTGTGATTGAGAATGAATTTGGGGACGTTGGTATTGATGAGCACGTCTTGTCAGAAAATGTCGGTGAAGAAATCATCGAGGTCATGAATGGATGCATCTGCTGCACTGTCCGGGGTGATCTCGTAACGGCACTCCAAAAGCTCCACAAGCAAGTCGCCTCCTTTGATGGAGTCATTATTGAAACGACCGGCCTGGCTGATCCGGCTCCTGTCTGTCAAACCTTTTTCGTCGATGAAAACATTCGAAAGCTCTATCATTTGGATTGTGTTGTGACTGTGACGGATGCCAAGAACATCCTAGCGCGTTTGACCGACATCAAACCAGACGGTGTCGAGAATGAAGCCGAAGAACAAGTGGCCTTTGCGGACAAGATTCTCGTCAACAAGACGGATCTGGTGACCGCAGAGACGGAACTTGCCGAGATTGAAAAGAAACTCCGGGCCCTCAATCCCACAGCGTCTATTCAACGCTGCCAACAGGCCAAAATCAACCCGAAGGATGTCCTCAATATCAAGGCCTTTGATCTGGACCGCGTCTTGGAATTCGACTCGGAATTCTTAGACGAAGATCAAGAACACCAACATGATGCAACAGTGACTTCTGTCGCCATGAGGATGGAAACCGATATCAATCAAACCTTGATGGAATGTTGGATCCAACGCTTGATTTCGGAAGACGGTGCGAATTTGTTTCGTTACAAGGGCGTCTTGGCCGTCAAGGGCATGGATTGCAAGTTTGTCTTTCAAGGCGTCGGAATGCTCTTTACGGGTGGATACTCCGACATCAAGTGGAAGGCAGACGAGAAGAGAGAATCACGATTCGTCTTCATTGGCAAACATCTTGATCACGAACTCTACAAGCTTGGATTTGAAGCCTGTCGTGTGGATCAACCCTTGCGCTTTGCTGTTGGTTCCTTGGTGGAAGCCAACGTGGGAGGCTATGTCAAGGCCAAGGTCCTGAAGCAGTGGGATGATGGGAATGCCTATCGTTTGGAAATTCAAAACAAGGAAAAGACCAATGTCTGGGCTCCTGTCGACATTGACAATTACATTCGAGCTACTGCTGTCAATTATAATTAATTTATTATTCATTGCATGCGATGAGCATAGATGCTGTCGAGCAATTGACTCGTTTGACTCAATGTGAGATCTTAGTATTCCAGGATACGTTGTCAAAGTCTTCTATAGCCGTGCTGTCGAAATTAGTAGCACTGTGGACCGATAACCGTGACGATGACTCCTCCTTGATCGTTTCCGACCTGCGCTTCATTTCCTGACTCCGACTACTTCGCTCCAGCATGACAAAGGTCGATCGTCGTGCCGTATGACTGATTCGCATATCTTGTCGTAGCTTCAAACATTCCTTCGTTAGATCGTCCAGTAGTTTGTGTGCATTTGGTCGGGCACGATGGTCGGGATTCCAAGATTCGTGCAGAATGGTTTGAATGCTCGTGGAAAACTTGGCAGGAACGGATGGTCTCTCTTGGCGCCCCCACGGATTCCAAACATTTTCCTTCAATTGGTGCATGGTTCTTTCGTTCTTAAACGGTCGTTTCAGGGTCAACATTTCCCAGAATACCAATCCAAAACTGTAAATGTCACAGGATTGATTGTGTCTTTGGCCGAGTCCGACTTCTGGCGCCATGTATCGGGGTGATCCTGCAGAGGTAAATTTAAATGTCTCGTTGGGTGAATTGGTTTTTGGTGGGGGCATTTCTCGGGCCAATCCAAAGTCAAACACTTTGATGTCATTGCGAACATCAAATCCAATATTGTCCTAAGAAAGAGAGAAAGTGATGGAGAGAAGGTAAGAAATCGTGATTGAACAAGCTAATAATAAACATGATAGCGAATGTTCATATCGTACCGGCTTGAGATCTCGGTGAATAATCCGATGGTCATGCATGTAGGCAATGGCGGCCATTAGATCCATAGCATATTTCATTCGTTCTTCCAATAGCTTTCTCTTTTTTTGACCATTCCGATCCTTGATGATGGATCGTACAAATCCTTTGGTGTGTTTCTTTGTCTTTTTCCATTTGAGAATTCGAACTTGCAGAGTGTCGTACAATCGATCCAATATAAGGAAGTATTCCTTGCTAAACATGTTTTCCACAGCAACGCCCCGCAATTTGATAATGTTGGGATGATGCTGGAGGGATGCCAAATAGAGTGTCTCGTTGGCCAAATCTGCCATTCCATTCATAAAGCTCGAATCGTCTTCCAAAATACCTGATTTTAGTTTCTTGATGGCATACCGAGCATCACCATTGTTGCGATAGCAGTGTCGCGCAATAAAATTACGAGATTCCATTTCACCGGGAGTGACTTCCTCGTCGTCATCATCTCGTTTCGACCGATCAAAGCTTCGTTTTGTGGCGCCGGTGAGATGAAATCCTCGAATTTCATAGACAGCTCCAAAACAACCAGATCCTAGCGTTAAGCCCATCATCAATTCTTTCGTTTTGAACTTTGGAATCTTCTTCATCTTCGACGATTCGATCCAGCTGCAGCCGGAAAGATTCTGACTGTAGATGGATTGAGCACCCTCTTCGGCACTCAAACCTCGTTTCAGCTGCCTTGTTTTGATTTGAGGTACTGAGATTCCTTCTCCTTCTCCGACTTCATCGCCCGCTGCGGAATGTGGTTCTTCATCCGTTTTCTTGGACAATTCTTCTTCAACTGGATGGTATCCGTCATTATTTGAGGAGGACAATCCATAGAACGTGTTGGTGTCGTCGATCTTGATCATATTCACCACACCATGGTTTACCGAATAGGCAGCCGACATTTTGAATCTACGATATATTATTCTGTTGTGACGTATTCTGACGATAATGTGATTGTTGCAAGTGCGTGGCTCTTATTGTCTTCTTGTTGTTGTTGTACGGTATCAGAGACAGACTGCGAAACAGTTCATCACCTGATAAGATGCGTACTATAGATATATTCGTATCGAAAATGTTACACGCTTTCGCAAGGGCGAATGAATACCTTGATAGAAAATGCATGCAGGATGCAGGATATCCAACTATATATATAGATAAATGTTGGATGTGGAGAACAGTTGTCCGTCATTGTTTGGCGTGATTCTCCGTCCCAATTAGCCTATTTTGAACGCGCGCTATTACAAAGTTCCAGAAGTTGTCTTTGTATTTAAAAAACGTTTTGTCCAGCCTAAGCAAAAACGTAAGCCATCTCATGAAAGTACTATGGAATCCAACGAGTCATATGCATTTTTGCGAGATTTTGTTTGCATAGGACCCTTCTGCCTTTTTGTTCATACATATATTCCCATGACAGCGGCACAATAGTAGTGGTCACAGCGGTTTGCCAGTATCCAAAAGCTGCTGCATTTAGTCATTCACCACTTTGCTACTAGAAGATACTTGTGTCTTTCCGTAAAAAACGGAGTTTTGTCCAAAGAGCCTTGAAGTCAAGCGTGATCGCAAGTCCACCTGTCATTATCACCTGTCATCCATCATCATCATAATGTCAGCGGATACTGTTCCAAAATTACCTACCATCATGACGCTCAAACGAGACAGCTGGGTCAGTTTAGATCGAACTACAATGTCCAAAGGATTCTCTAGCGAATTGACAGTGGGAGACAGTAGTGACGGTGAGGTTGATGAAAGCTTGATCATCAACGATGAAGTGGCAAATAATACTAATAATACCCAAAGCGGTAAACTCTCGGTCCCTCCTACCGATCACGTGAGAAGAAAACGACGTGGAGCCATGGCCGCCGAAAAGGCTGCCGAATCCATCTACGAAGGACATCTTTCCTCTGCTAGCTGGGTAGCCGAAACATCCAAGGTGAAAGATATTCCAAAGTTTGATACCAGTGAACTCAAGACAGGATCCGAACTGGGCTCTGGATGCTTTGGATCAGTCTGGGAAGTAAAAGGGTTTGATCTTCATGGAGAAAGTAATAATAACAATAGTGAAGGAGCCAACCCAATACTTCGATGGCCCAAACTGAAAAAGGAAGACCCGAAAAAGGATGTAGAAGTGGATTCCGATGAAATTGAATCTCGTAATTTCATTGCCAAACACTGTTATCGGAAGAATGGTGATGCTCGATATGCTTTGAAGAAATTGAAACCTGGAACTGTCGAAGACGAACTTGGATTTATCAATGGCATGAACGACTTGGCAAACGAAACGCTATTTTTGTCAAGTTTGTTAAATCATCCCAATGTGATCAAGCTTCGTGGAATCGCCATGGCATCCATGTTCAGCGAGGATTACTTTGTCGTGCTGGATCGATTGTACGATACTCTGCATACTCGAATCCTCAAGTGGAAGAAGAAACGAAAGCGAGCCAATGGCCTGAATGCTGGACCCATGTTTAGGGATCGTCGTCGGGCTGTCAAGGAACAAATGCTAGAAGAAAAAATGAAGTACGCCATGGATCTGGTCGCAGCCATTGCTTACATTCACGAACACCGCATTATGCACCGAGATCTCAAACCGGTACGAGCTATAGTTTTTGCTTGCCTGTCTGTTGGTTGAATGACTGAATAGTGTACCTCTCACATGTATCATGTATGCACTTATCTATTATTCTCTCTCTTTCGTAGGACAATATTGGATTCGATGTCCGCAATGACATTAAAGTATTCGATTTTGGATTGGCCCGAGAATTGCCACCACCCAAGACCAATTCACCGGACGAGTCCTTTCACTTTACAGCAGCGGGATCTCCACGATACATGGCACCTGAAATTGGAAATGGTGAACCATACAATCAAGCTTGTGATATTTACAGTTTTGCCTTGGTCTTTTGGGAAATGCTCCACATGTCGCGGCCATATCCCAAGCAAACCAAGGTGGTGCTGTTGCAAGAGAATGTATGGTCTCCCTCTGGACGCCAAATGCGCCCAGCCGTGTCGCCGAAAACGGCCCCCAACGTTCAAAAGATCCTACATCAATCTTGGCATGTCGACCCGGCCACCCGCCCCAAGGCTCCCCAGTTACTCAATTCTCTGAAACAAGAATGTCTCAAAATACGAGCCAGTATGCGGGTGAGTCATGCCGCCCGTCGTTCCACCTTTGTCTTTGGCCACGAAGAAGAAGATGATAGCAGCAACAGGGATTATACCGGCAAATCCTCGAATGGTTATTACGATGAGAGTGAATACAATAATATTGCCGAGGAGGATGAGGAAGACTACGATGAGTCCGAGAATACAAATTAATGTTTGTTTTCATCACTGCATATTGGGATACCGGTATTATCGGGGGGAGGGGAATGCTGGCAGGAATGGAAGAAGCAAGAGCCATGATGATAAGATAAACGTACAGTACATTTCAGTACTGTAGATTGAATTGATAACTCTAATTCTCTAACTTTGTTCTAATGTTGTTCTAATACTCTTGACACAATAAGTTCGTTCTAGTGAACGCTGACGGACAATAATGGGTCCTCGTTCTCGTGATCCTGATTCGATGAACTGCAGCAATCATCTGTATCTTGATGGGGATGCTGATGATGGTCCGAGTGTCCCGAACGTTTGTGGTGAAAGAGGTGAAGCTTTGATTTGCGAATCGAAAGACTCTTGTGCACCACAATCGAGTGGCGTTTGTTTTGGAGATTGTCTTCCAAACACAAGTCCATGAGCATGAGTTCCATTTCCTTGGAACTGGGTCTATCGCAGATGCGGGGCGACCAGGCCTTGTGCATCATAAAGCTCAATTCTTGGGGCCAACTTTGATTACGGGTGGGTCGTTTAAAAGGAGGTCGGACCACCGATTCCTCAATTTCCTTGTTGGTATGAGCGGAAAAGGCTCTCTTGAGGGAAAGCATCTCCCACAAGAGAATGGCAAACGAGTAGACGTCGCAAGATTCGTTGTAGGGTTGACCCAAAGCCACTTCCGGGGCCATGTATTTCAAAGTACCAGTGTGGGGAGTCATATTGTAAAGGTCGTCCTTGTGTCTCAATTTTGGCAATTCCTTAGCAAGGCCAAAGTCAAAGAGTTGAATTTGTCCATCCTTGTCAAAGGCCACATTCTCTTCCTTGAGGTCTCGAAAGACAATGCGGTTTTCATGAAGGTATTGCAATGCGGATCCCAAATCACGGGCCGCCCGTAGACGTTCTTGAAAGAGAGCGGTGCGTCTGTGTCCATTCCAGTCATGCATTCTTCCCTTCAATCCCGAAATGTGTTTTTCTTCCATCTTCCATTCTTCAATCCTCTTGACAAGGGTGGCACGAAAGCGATCAATCACAATGAAAAATCCCTTATCAAATTTGGGTCCACTGGAAATAGCGCGGAGTCGGACGATGTGAGGATGATTGATTTCCGCTAGTAACCGAGCTTCGGTCACTAAATCTGCGACTGCTCGGTGCAAGTCTTCCTGATCAAGGCTGGACTTGAGTTGCTTCAATGCATATCTGTCTTGCTGCTGTTGTTCTTGGTCTTCTTCACCAAATAGTTCATCGTCTGCAGAACAGTCGATTATTTGTGTGCTGCAGCTGGAGATATTGGACACCTGACGACTTCGTTTTTGCTGCGTCTGCTCCAAGGAGGCTTCGGAAGTCACGCGAACGGCAACCACCGTAGCAAACGCGCCACTTCCCAATAGTTGAGTCTTTTGGAGATCCTCCAAGGAAACTCTTGGGTACTGGGAGGTGAGGTCTGGTCTTCTGGAGTATTCAAAGCTTTGCTCATGAAAGTCTCGTGCCAGTTCGTAGGCCTCTTGAGAGGAGGAGCTTGCTGGCTGTCTCATGTTTTGATTTTGTTGTTTTGATTTTCGTGTGTACTGGATTGTTTCGTGTTTTTATGTGGAGGAGAGGAAAATTGTTGTGAGTTCGTATGTCAAGACTCTTGAACCATGTTTGACACCTACGTGATTCGCGTACAATCCTACTGGGCCCACACGTACACCACGAGCGAGTCATTTCAGAGAAGCATTCTTCAGTTCACTATCGAAGGGTTCGGTTTCGTTGATCGAGCTCAGAGAGCAATTTCGCGATTTTAATTAGTGGTGGCCGTACGTCGACTCCATCAATTGGTGCACGTTCGTCGTCACTCAACCGCAAATACACGACAAAATGTGAGTATCACCTCCGTATATTTTCAAATTTGTCTCTTCACGACTCACGCAAATGCACTATATACTACTGAACACGATGGAAATCCATCACCATCACCAATCTGACAACATCGCGAAGTGATGAGTAAGACATCAGACACTTTGGAGGTGTAGTGTTGGAACACGATTATCATGAATGCTTGACTGACTAGTGACTGACTGACTCACTCACTCCTCAAGAAAGCTTCATGACCAATCATCCAACCAAGAACATGAAGCGCTATTGCCTGGATGGTTCGGTTTGCCAACAGCTTCATGATCAAAAAGAGCAACATTGGAATTCCGTATTCGCATATATACAGTAATAAGCGTTCGCTAATTTGTTGCATCACGACCACCAGTCGATTTGATCACTTTCATTGACTATAGTTTTATCCAGCAAAAAATGGATTACATGCACTACTAGTACTATAGCCCAAGTGATGCATAATGCCTCACGTCGTCTATCGACTTCCGACTCCGTTCTAAGTAATCAAAATCCTCCAGGGTTGTGTTGTCGAGTTGGGTTTCACCACGGACAGACAACCGTGGCGATGATTCCTCCTCCTTGATCATGTCCGATAACTTTCGTATCGTCATATCATGACTTTTTCTGCCTTGATGACCATCCTCCATGACAAAGGTACTTCGTCGTGCCGTATGACTCACTCGCGTGTCTTGTCGTAGCTTCAAGCATTCCTTCTTCAAATCCTCCAGTAGGTTGTGGGCCTTTGGTCGGGCTTGAGGTCTGGGATGCCAGCATTCCTTCAAAATCTTTTGAATGCTGTAGGAAAACTCTTTGGCCGGGATTTCTGGCCTCTCTTGGGGTCCCCAGGGATACCAAACGTCTTCCTTCAGCTGCTCCATTGTCTTTTCATTCTTGAAGGGTCGTTTCAAGGTCAACATTTCCCAGAATACTAATCCAAAACTGTAAATGTCACACGATTGGTTGTGTTTTTGGTCGAGTCCAACTTCTGGGGCCATGTATCGAGGAGATCCTGCGGAGGTAAACTGGAAGGTCTCGTCAGGAGAATTGCCCTTTGGGGTGGGCATTTCTCTGGCCAAACCAAAATCAAATAGCTTAATGTCGTTGCGGACATCGAATCCAATATTGTCCTAAAAAAAAGGGAGAAAATGTGAGATGTGAGAGACGCAATCTTTTCGCAGAATAGTGGTATCAAAGATTGATCGATTCTTCGGCCCGCCATTATCCGCGCTGATATCGTACCGGCTTGATGTCTCTGTGAATAATCCGATGTTCATGAATGTAGGCGATAGCGGCCATTAGATCCATGGCGTATTTCATTCGCGCTTCCAATAGCTTCCGCTTCTTTTCTCCATCCCGATCCTTGATGTAAGAACGCACAAATCCTTTGGTGTGATTCTTCTTCTTTTCCCATGTGAGAATACGAATTCGAAGGGTGTCGTACAATCGATCTAGAATGAGAAAGTAATCCATACTAAACATGTTTTCCACAGCAATGCCTCTCAATTTGATAATGTTGGGATGATGCTGTAAGCATGCTAGATAGACTGTCTCATTGGCCAAAGCGGCCATTCCATTCATAAAATCGTCTTCCAGAATGCTAGGCTTTAGTTTTTTGATGGCATACCGAGCATCACCATTGTTGCAGTAGCAGTGCCGAGCAATAAATTTGCGTTCACTGATTTCACTGATTTCACTGGGTTCTTCTCTTCCACTGCGTTTCGACCGAATGTCGTCTTTCAGAGAGCTCTTTTGTGTATGTTGTGTGTTGAGATAAAATCCTCTGACTTCATAGACTGCACCAAAACAACCAGACCCCAGGACTAAACCCATCATCGCTTCTCTACTTGTGAATTTTGGAATCTCCTTCATCTTTGACATCTTTGATGACTGGATCCAGCTACAACCAGAAAGATTCTGTGTGTAGATGGATTCGGCACTCTTTTGGTGGGCATCGCTCCTTCCTCGTTTCAGATTTCGTGGCTCAAGGATGTAGGGTACCGATAGTTCTCCCTCGCCTTCGTGTTCTTCGTCTGCTTCTTCTGCTTCTGCTGAATATGATGCTTCTTCAGTATTCTTGGATTCTTCTTCGATTGGAGTTTTTGCGGACAACCCTTTGAAAGTTTGACTAGCATCGATGCTGATCACCGCACCACCGCGACTATGGTCTACTGAAAATGCAGGCATGTCAGATTCTACTGGTTCCTTGTTACGACGTAAAATGCCGCTGATGTGAATGATCATGTAAGTGTGCGGGTCTTGTCCTCTTCTCCTTTCTGTGTATGAGTCAAATGAAATCGATGAGACATGCAATATACCTACGCACAGCGACCGCAGGTATTTAGTAGAGCGACTAATAGAAGTTGCATTGGCGAATGATTGAATAACTTCCTCAAAGCCTGTATGAAATATATGAATATATATGTTCACCGTAGGCGATATTTTTTTAGATATGTCAATCTTGAACCACGTTGATCGGGGAATCGTGACACTCTATCATTGGTCGTGAAGAGCCCGTGGTACCTGGTGCCGGTATACGTGTTCGATGCCTTTCAATTTTAAATTTGTATCACAGAAGTCGCTCCCTTTTTCGCAGGTGATGCGTTCGTGCTCCCGGCCAAGTGGGAACGACGCAGGGACCATCTCGTTCGCAGACAACACGCGAAGAAGATCGCATCCTTATTTCACCATCTTCTAACGATTGTTCGTCTCCATATGACCTTGTCTGTGTCATCAGGTATGGGCGTTGATCTCTTTGTGCTGTCTCCTCCGTATCGTTTGTCTACAGGTTAGCGTGGGGTGAGGAAGAAGTGTCACCAAGAAAGGCGTCACTTCTTGTAGTGTAAAGAATTGTCAAGGACGATTGGTCGACTCAAGCCAATTTGTCATAAGAATCCTCAAATGATAGGATTCCAGAATCCTGCAACTCTTTGGTACATACCCGATTGCCTGCATTTTTGTCTGTTGCTTCACCATACGATTAGACATCAATCCAAGGTGGTTCAAGTGGAGCGGCGGAGAATGTCAACGCTGCAAAAGAGATGTGAAACCTTATCCAAGTATGGTTCGTTCCCGCTACAGTGCCACACCTGGAGTATTCTGCGGAAATTTTTGTTGGGGTCGAGGATCGTTTCCAGCTTGCCATGCAACTTTCTGTGAAGGATGCTTTTGTCCTCTAGGAAAGACACCTTTTCCAGTGCGCGAATTGATAGACGAAGAAGGTGACGTCATAGGAACGAACGAGGACGAAACAAGGCTTCTAACAGCTCGAGCTGGAGATATGTTGATGGTCCCTGTCCAGTGTGAGATGTGACATTTCCGGAATATGATGAAACGAAACCCTTTGGATACTTGTCCGAAAGACTTGGAGACAATGGAGTTTATTCGCAGAGCTACTCTTGATTCTATCTGGTCAAGAGCAACTTCAACAGTACAGCAGAATCTGTGGGCCCTTCTTTGGTCGGAACTCACTTTGCATAGATTTGGAATATCTCCGATTTCACCTCCAATTGGTCCTTTTCCGTTGGACGACATACATGGAATGCTGCAAGCAATTGCAATCTTAGACCGATCATTGGATCCCGGACGGTACAAGACTCAAGTCTGCAATGGGCGACGATTCGAACCCAACGCTCAGTTTTCACCGATTATCATCAGGCAAGCGTCTTTGGCCTAGAGGACATTTTTGGGGCTTATGAGAGAAACAGATGCTGGATTTCCCAAGTACCTACTCACACATTTTGGTTCACTCAGTTCATGGAGGGCCTTCGGCAGCGGGTCGGCGAAATAGCTAAACAAGATTGGTCTGTTCCGATCAAAGTCATGCAATGCATTGATGAGATTCTAAATAAGAATTGGATGGAAGCGCCGAATCAGCAGGCGAGAAAGGAAATTGCGGAAATGGGTACTTGGTATCTGGTAGGTTTCTGCACTGGACTCAGAGGAGAAGAAATGCTCATGATTGAATTGTCAGGGACTGCAAACAGTCTTAGCAACCTGCAACAAGAGGACTAACCGCATTTTCTAGTCAGAAAATTGGTGAGGACTAAAGGAAGAATGGAAAACGGGAGGCAATTCTTGATGCCATATGTTGCTGTCACAGCAACCGGGGAGATGGATGCGTCGGGAGGATTTGGATGGAACTGCGGCGATGTTGGACTGCGCCTTCGCTGGTTCCATCTATGAAAATGAGAAGTATAAAACTGGAGGTATCTTGTTTTTCGATGAACTACAATTGTCTTTGGACGATTGTTTGTGAGTTTCAAGCATTCTCCATCACATTGGCTGATTTGTGATATCATCACAAGGAGATACCGGTAAAGCGAGTGAGTCTTTTAATTGACAGAATGCCACGTTGCTTGCGCTTCATCGTAACAATAATTTGGCGATGAGTAGTATATATCCAGTACCATCGAGTAGACGATGTGTTGGTACCGCCAACAAGTAGGTACCGCCATTTTTCCTCGCCACATGTTTAAATGACTCCATATCGACTACTATGAAACATGTCTCGACGAAATAACTTCTTGATTTATACATCTCATATCTGGAGACATTTATGCTGTATCACGATTTTAAAACACAATTATACAGTAGTTTTATTACTATACATGATTGAAAGTATTATACATTGGTTCTTCCATAGAAACATATACCACATGACAAAATGCATTCACCCATTCTCGCACACTAAATGCTAGCCAGACGCCAGCAGCAGCAGAGGGGGGAAACCACACCAGTCGACACCGCACAACCATGAAATCAAACAATAAATAGCCTAGATTTTTTTCTTTCACACCAGAAACACACTCAAATAAATACACTCGATGCAAACATACATGCATCATTGCATTCACACAGCCACAAGAGGCAACAACTGCGGAGGCATGGCAAAGGCTGGAGAATGATCGTCGTCCATCTTGGATTCTTCCTCCTCCGCATATTGCATCCACGAATAGACATCCCCCAATTCGAGGGCAACAGTATTCATACTGGGTCGTTCACTCAAACAAGAACTCCAACTTCTCTCCAACAAGTCTTGAAGGACAATTGGCCAGGTACTCCAGTGAATCCGGGGTCGTTCCTTTGACAAAAAGACTGATTCCCGCATTGACACTGGACTCAGATGCTGAAAGGGCTTTTGCAATGACAACAACTCCCAGAGCAGCAAGGAAAATGAATAGACATCACAAAGTTCATTGTATGGTAAGCCCAGTGCCACTTCCGGAGCCATGTATCGAGGAGAACCCACGGCAGATGTATACTTCCAAAGGGGAGAAGTCCCCTTGGATGGAGAGGAGTGGAAGCCTCTGGCCAATCCAAAGTCAAATAGCTTTACAGTACCATTCTGATAGAAGAGAAGATACGAGTTAGACTGACATGTATATCTCAAAACAATGAACATGAATGAATCATTCGATCATCCACGTGAACAAATAAATAAAAAACGTACCCTATCAAACGCAATATTGGATGGTTTAATGTCCCGGTGAAGTATCCTTTGGTCGTGCAAATAATCCAAGGCAGAGGATATATCCAGTGCTAGCTCCAACCGTCTGCGATTGACTGGCAAGTCCAATCCTTGCTGTTCAGAATGAGAATGATGATAATACGACTGACGTAGTTGATTTCGTTTCCATGCTTCCATTCGTTCTTCTAAGGTTTCATACAATCGTTCCATTACGAGCATGGATGATAATGTTGACGAGACTCCATCACCTTCTTCTTCATGCGGATGTTGTAGATGTTGTTGTTGTTGCTGTTCCAATACCCCATAGGTCATGATGATATTCGGATGATTGACTGACTGAAGTATTCGCAACTCGGACTCAAAGTCTACTAGAGTCTGAAGCCGGTGTTGACGCCGTAGTCTTCGTTTTCGTCTTCTCGACAATTTATTGTTGTTGAGTTGTGGCAAATTATGCGCTCGCTTAATGGCGTAGCAATTGTTGGTCTCCGTTGCGCAATGCTGATGATTCTGATTCTGATTCTGACGAGTGAAAGTATCAGGCGAAGATGTCTGTTGTTTCTGAAGCAACTCATGAATGACACCAAAGTTTCCTTCTCCTAGCTTTCTGCCTGTATGATAATCATCCCAGCTCAGGTTACTGGCATCACTTTGCAAGGATGAGGCTGACGATGAAATTGATGATGATGATGACATTGACGACGATGACGCCTGAAAGATGAGACGCTCGTCTAACTGTCGATGAAGCTCTTTTTCCAGTGCGTTTTGTTCCATTTCATCTCCCTTCTTGTCATTGTTTCTTCTTCGTCTTCTTCTATCATTTAGAGAATACCATAGTGGACGTAGCAATTCAGACAAGTTTTGAATCCGATCAGCAATCATGCAGGCAAGACGAAGGAAAATGAAATGATGCATCAAGCAAAGGGGTCGTCAGTTGTTCAGCATTTTTTCCTTTCTTGGAGTCGATGGAGTCGCTATTTGTCCACCAAAGGCGCGAAGGGACTGTGCACAGCGTGTGCCAGAGCGCTGGTACAAAAAGGCTACGGAAACGAACCGTGTAGAGTGTCGGTTGGCTCTTCAACGAAGATGAAATAACGGTATTTGGGATAGCAAAGTCTAAGTAACACAGAATTCAATCGCTGGTATGCATGGCGAGCTACTTATTGTGAAGCACAAGCCGAATGTCAAACTACTGGTAGTTTCTTCTCCGAGAGGTGGCGGATGACTACGAGGCATGAAAGGTGCGCACGAAAGACATTTTCTCAATTATTGACAAATAAAATTTCTTCCGTAATTGATAGCCCGAAAAAAAACGTTACTTCTCTAAACGATTGGCCAGCTACGCGGATAGCACATGGCAAATCGAAGATTCCCAGTAAAACTTGAGCGGGAAACTTGACCGGCTCAAGCGTCGGCATAGCTACCGTTTTACGGAGTATTCATTCAAACTACCATTCCTCGTACTTTTCACGTAAGATCATTGGTTTGAACGGATGATTAATACCGTTGAAATTCCATTTCAAAAACAACGGATTCAGTAGATCATACGGGCAAAGCTACGTCAGCTAGGCTCCTAAGTAATAGGATCTGAAGCACGCCAGCAAGGCGCGAAAACTCTCGACTTGTCAGGGAGGGCGTGACGAAACCTCGGGAATTCACAACCGGCAGTTTCCTCTTGTCAAGCTCACAATTCCATTTCGCCTTCGAAACTAATCAACAACAACACCAACAACTATCAACATGTTCAAGTCTGTTCTTATCTTCGTCGCCCTTGTCTCTGTCGCCTTCGGACAATCCGTTGCCCCAGCTGCCTCTGGATCTGCCGTTCCAGTTGCTGTCCCAGTTGCCGTCCCTGTCATGGTTCCCGTTATGGTTCCTGTCATGACCCCAGTTGCTGCCCCTGTGATGGCTGCCGGAAAGGCACCCAAGGCCGCCAAGAAGGCCAAGACACCATCTGCTTCCAAGGGATCTAAGCTTTCCGCTTCTTCTGCCTCTTCCAAGTCTTCCAGACGTTATTTGACTCACTTGCAATAAGCGCGAGGCGTTTGATGTAATTTTCATCTGTTTTTGGTTGATGAAAACGAGCATCACTCCTTCCACTTATTCATTTATCTATCTGTCAGTCCAATGTCGATAACGTTTGCTAAGAGCTTGACAACCAAGCAGTACAAAGCAGTACACTGTAAATTAGGTTCCGGAACAACTACACATCTATTCATCTTTTTTCCCTTTATGTAGAGCTAGCACTTTTACTGGTCCATTTTTCATCTTCAGTGATGAAGTTAAACAGACGAAGATGTCTGATGAACTGTTCTTTTACAGCTGTCATTCGTCATACGAATGCACCTTCTCGTCCAACTGCATGTCATATACTATACCTGTCCTGCTCACCTGCAATCGCTACTGTCTGATTGATGTTTCCTTCGCATTCAGATTTCTTTACAGATTGGGTATTCCACAACCTGAAGCAATTCTGAAGGACCAGAACGTTCTCATGGCAAATACGAGGTACTTAGGACTACTGTAACTGAATGAATGGTGAATGTCTTAGATGAATTAACATGTGTGAAAACGTAATTGGATGATTTACAAGATGCATCTCAGGACTTCCGGCAAAACTTTGCTCAGACATATAGCAGGAAGACAACAAAATTACCCTATCTATATATAGATGCATCCATAACTGAAGCAGTAAGAGACGAAATGCAAAGCTGCGGACAGTTTCCTGACTCATCTCGTTTCATCATCATCGCATGTCTTCGATCGTACACCTATGATTGTGTTTCACCAGCTCATTCCTTCTGTCAGCTATCAAACCTTTGAATCTTGTTTCCACAGCCTCTATCGTATCTGTTTGACAATTGTTTTCCTAGTCCGTCCCCATAGCGGAATCGTATCATTGCGAGGCGAGACGGAGTTGCAAAACATCGGATGGAAGCAGCCCTCTCGCAAATACCGGTGGAACACAGTGACAGGTGACAGGCTCCCCGCAAACTCATAACCGAAAAATTAAAAACAGCCAATGGAGAATGGAGAATTCAGTGACATGTCTGAAAAAAATATACTCACAAAGATCTAGGTACCGGTATATACATCAATTGTAAACGGATCCAATTCGAATTATATTGACTACAGAGTACTGTAGGTAGAACCATATCCAGGCATGAAAGAACGCCCATCGAAATTAAAAACTCAGATTGCTGCAATGACGATGTTCGACCTCGTCGTTGGTATTAGTCTACAGCCACTCGGCATGATTCATTCAGACAGACAGCAGAAGCCCACCGATTCGGCAGTGAAATCCAGCTGGATTGTAGAGTTCCAGACTGGCGCATTGTAGGAGGCCGTCTTTGTAGCGATGGCCCCAAAGAAAACACGCCATTAATGGTGCAAATAGGCTGGGTGCTACTGTATTATATTAATGTTGTTCCACCACTTGGATACATTCATTCTTAGTCCTAGGAGTTCATACCAATCTATTGAATTTGGTTAGATTCGTCTTGTGCTAACCTGACACCGTGGATTCCAAACGCCGGGTTTCTGGTATATGAGTTCATACCAATCTATTGAATTTGGTTAGATTCGTCTTGTGCTAACCTGACACCGTGGATTCCAAACGCCGGGTTTCTGGTATATATCTATATATCTATAGTAGCATAGGACTAACACTATTCTACTGATTTTTGGGTCACCAGACCACTACTACCCTCACCTGGTATTTATATATCTATAGTAGCATAATACTATTCTATTGATTTTTGGGTCACCAAACCACTACTACCACCACCTCCATCATTGCCTCGCTCGCTTAGGACGAAGACCCCCTTCGACTAGATCGTGTCGGTTGACTTCTCTTTGATGAAGAAGTGGACGAAGAAGACATAATTTCTTTTGTTGCAGCAACTGCTGCTGCTCGAGCAGGTCGACTTCTGGTTGGTGGAGTAGAAGATGTATCATCTTTGCTTGCTGCTGCTGTTGCTGCTCGAGAAGGAGGTTGACTTTTGGTTGAGGACGATGATGAACCCGAAGAAGAGGATGATGCAGTACTGGTAGATCGAGTCGGTTTCTGTGGTTTTGGTAATTTCTGCGGTTTCTGCGATGATGACGAAGTGCTGGACGATGAAGAGGAGGCATTTTTGCCATCTCCTCCTCCACCAACACCTGAACCACCATTGTCTCCACGATTCAATTTGTTCAAAAATTTGAGAGCACTCTTTGGAGGTGCCTCTGAGGTAGTCGTTGCTGTTGATTTACCTCCAGTATGGCTAGTGTTGTTGTTGCTGTTCAATCTTGCCTTTTTGGCCAATGGAGAATCACTGGAAATGGCATCATTCAGGTTGCGGCGACCGTGTGGGACTAGGGATTTCTTGCTTCTCATAATACCATGTTTCGCACTGATGGTACCACTATTGCCTCCCGCTCCTGCAGTCGAAAGCAGTGACTTTTTGCGCATTTGAAGAGAATGGCCCGCACTGAGTGCATTTGGATTATTGCTGCCAGCACCAGCAGCACCACCACCACCACCAAGCTTGAGAGTTCCATTGTTGAGTGCCAAATTCGGCAAACGGGGTTGGTGCTTTTGGATCGTGGCGAAATCAGCCCGGCACTTGTGATACATGGCGAGTAGTTCATCAGCGGAAGCCTTGATATCCTTATTATCATCATCCTCCCCTTCCACTTCAGGTTGAAGCAAGATTTCACAAGCTCGAGTCATAGTGCTGGCATTCATGGATCGTACTGCATCCAGGTATTCTGGAGGAAGGGTGCTTCGGTTTATATGCAGAGTGCTATTAGACATTGTATTGGTGGCAACGGATGGTACCTGGTACTACGGTACTGTCGCAAAAGGAACGGTGGAATCGCCTTCTGATTATTCTGAATATAGATATTAATTATATCCTGGCATCATCATCGCATGTTTTTTTATTTGCTGATGATTTTTGCATGTGTTAGTCGTGTTAGTCGGATTGATCCTATTTTGGTTTTACCGATATTCTCCATTCTCCAATGGATTTTGTTTTGAATTTTCAGGTTCAGGCAGGCAGGTTATCAGCTCAGAGCTCCGGAAATTTGGACGTTGCAGGTTGCAGGTTCCGATGATGTTTGTTTGCGCAACTCCGCCGAATTTTTGACAATGGTGCGAATACATGGGAATACATGGGGAAACATGCTGAAGATGAGATTGAAAACAACAATCAAACAGATATATAAGATGGAGGATTTGTGGTAACGAAAGCCAAAGATGACAGAAAGGACGAGCTGCTGGAACGGAGTACATACAACTATGATGATGAAATGCACGAGTCAGACAAGGAGACAACTGTTCTATCTCTTGCTGGTCCATGGCCCAATGCTAAAGTTATGTTTCCTCGTCAGATATATGAAGTAATGATAGTGCTTGTTTTGGTATTGTATTTCTGCCATATGAAGATAGTTTCATAATGCATAACGTTCTGACAGTCCTTCATTTTAAAAAATTCACCTCAGATGCATCGTGTAGTCCTAACATGCCATGCAAGTCATTCATTTCGTTTCCATGCAAGAACTTTACAATTCATTGAGTTAGTGTCAAGTAACTCGTATTTGCCTTGAGAATGATGTGCTTCGTCCTTCAGAGTAGCAAATATTTTTTCGCACCTCAGGTGATTCAGAATTGCTTCAGAATATGAAGAAGTCTGAATGTGAGTGGAACATCAATCGTACTGTAGCGTCCCGGTATGCATGTGAGACGCAAGGAAGAGTTGAGGGAAAGGTGCATTGGTATGGCAGTTAATAAGTGAGCAAAAGCAGCTGATCAGGACACCTTCAAATCATTGAACTTCTTGGCAGTTCAAAGCAACTGGAAATCTAACGCTAAATTAGAAAGAAGATGAATAGATGTGTAGTTGTTCCGGAACCTAATTTACAGTGTACTGCTTTGTACTGCTTGGTTGTCAAGCTCTTAGCAAACGTTATCGACATTGGACTGACAGATAGATAAATGAATAAGTGGAAGGAGTGATGCTCGTTTTCATCAACCAAAAACAGATGAAAATTACATCAAACGCCTCGCGCTTATTGCAAGTGAGTCAAATAACGTCTGGAAGACTTGGAAGAGGCAGAAGAAGCGGAAAGCTTAGATCCCTTGGAAGCAGATGGTGTCTTGGCCTTCTTGGCGGCCTTGGGTGCCTTTCCGGCAGCCATCACAGGGGCAGCAACTGGGGTCATGACAGGAACCATAACGGGAACCATGACAGGGACGGCAACTGGGACAGCAACTGGAACGGCAGATCCAGAGGCAGCTGGGGCAACGGATTGTCCGAAGGCGACAGAGACAAGGGCGACGAAGATAAGAACAGACTTGAACATGTTGATAGTTGTTGGTGTTGTTGTTGATTAGTTTCGAAGGCGAAATGGAATTGTGAGCTTGACAAGAGGAAACTGCCGGTTGTGAATTCCCGAGGTTTCGTCACGCCCTCCCTGACAAGTCGAGAGTTTTCGCGCCTTGCTGGCGTGCTTCAGATACTATTACTTAGGGGCTGTTCACACACAAAACTCTATTTGTGACCATTCGTATCCGTTCATGATTCAAACGCAATCCAACGGATGCGACCATCCGTTCAAATCAATGATGGTGCGTAAAATTTTGCATAAGATAGTACATGTGTATAGAAGACTCCATAACAGACTGGCTTGCGATTTGGTTATTCGGTTAAATTTTTTACGGGAGTGGACAAAAATTTGGAGACGACTCCTTGCTCGATGCGTGTATAGAAACACTTAATGATCTACAATCTATGACAGACACACTCCCATTCCATTGCGAGTCAGAACGCCGTTGATTCAGCCCGCGAGCTCTGCATGCTTGAATATGTATTGGTACGTAGGTAACCACATACTACTCTCATCGATGACGTCACAGTCTCGGAGTAGTCAACGGACTCTCATTCGTTTGGCAATCTTGTTGGCGCCCAACCGTCATCGTCTTCGATCGATCGAGTCAGTCAGTCAGTCAGCCAGGCAGTCAGCCAGTAAATAAAGTCAGTCTGAAATTTGCATCTTGCTTCTGACGTTTGGTGTTCCCGGAAACTCCGTCCGACCGGAATGGGGGCGTTTTCACGATCCGATGTGGAGATTGGCGATGGGTGGAAATTTACGATATCACGTGTATACCGTACCTACCGGTATATTATACCTTTTTTCTATCCGGTAGTCCTACCGGTACGTGTAAATACGTATAAAAAATAAAATAAAATAAAATAAAATTGAATGGATGGATGGATCGATTACATCAGAGCTTATTGAGTCTACTACCACTACAGTTGCAATCTTCCTTCAATTCTGACTTTGATGATGAACATGATGATGACGAACATGATGGTGATGATGAAGAGAGTTGGTACGATACAAAGCTACTTCAGAGAGAACTGAATCGCTCCTTAGAAGAACGGCTCATCACAGAAGAATTGGTGACAGCGGCGACATTATCACTTCAGCAGAAAAACGAGATTACACGACTAAGTGTGGACGAGTTTCTGGTTGGGAGGAAGCTTGGTGAAGGAAGATTTGGAGTCATCCACGAGCTGCTGCTTTTAGAGCAATCGAGGTTGGAGTTGAGGAAAGACGATGACGATGACGATGGTGCGAAATGGAGGCAAGAACAGCTGATGTCACCATCGTCGTTCCGTCATCACGAAAACGGTTATGCTGTCAAGCGTACACACAAGCTACCAACACTCAGGGATAGAAGACGAATGACTCGAACAGAGAAAAGCTCAAGGCGGAGGCAGAGGCTTCAGAATCTAGTAGACTTTGAATCCGAGCTACGCATTCTGAGTTCGGTCCATCATCCCAACGTTATTAGGACGTATGGGACAATATTGGTGCAAGATCATCCTCAGGACGGTTCTACCACCAAAATGATGGTCATGGAGCGATTGCAGGATACTTTGGAACAACGGTTGCAGACTTGGCGACGGTCTCAACTGCGGCAATCTTATCACCCTCATCATCATCATCATCATCATAATCATCATTCTGGAGTACCATTCGAAGATTTAGACTTGCCAGTCAATCCAAAAAGACTGGAGCTGGCTCTGGATATTTCTTCCGCTTTGGACTATCTGCATGGACAAAAAATACTGCACCGTGATATCAAACCATCCAATATCGCTTTCGATCGGGTAAGTGCAGATGCATCAGTTCTTGCTTGTTGCTTCTTCACGTCAGACGTGGGACATCTAATCCTTCCTCTTCTCTTTTTGTTCTCATAGAATGGAAATATCAAGCTATTTGATTTTGGATTGTCACGGGGGCTGCATGTTTTGACGACCACAAGGGGTATATATGGCTCATCGTCGTCGCCACTTTGGAAGTATACAGCTTATGTCGGTTCACCTCGCTACATGGCTCCTGAAGTCGCGCTGGGTTTGCCCTACAATGAACTGTGCGATGTCTATTCGTTTTCCTTGCTACTTTGGGAACTGATATCATTGCAAAAGCCCTTTGAACATTTGAGTCCAGAGTCCATGGGCGAAACTGTCTGGGACAATGCTTTTTTTCCGGAACGACCTCGGATCCAAACCACCACGTGGCCATTGTCCATTCAAGACTTGCTGCAAAAAGGATGGAGTCCAGTTCCGTCCAAACGTCCGCCTATGAATACCGTTGTTCTCCAATTGGGAAATGCATATTCCTGGATGCAACATGGTGATGATAATGCTGATTTGGAGGAACAAGAAGAATCCAAATTGGATTATTGGCAGTGAAGAGTGGGTCATCGCATACATCATCTGCATGCCTTGATGCATCATTATCATCACCGCTGTCACCACCTGACATGATGTCTGTCGGCAAACCTTTGTCGAAATCCCGTCACGTGAAAATGTACCGTCTGAAGTAGTAGTCTGTGCTAGTGGTAGCTGGCTACTGCTCCTGTTTTATGTTAGGGGCGGCTCGGCTCCTTCCTCCTACTGTGAACTCCTCTTTGTTGAATTTTGTATACGTCCTCTCGTCGTCTCTGAATGTCATGTTAAACGTCATGTTGAATGTTGTGTATAATGTTTTTACAACTTTTAAAAAAATGTATATTTATTACTATGGTATCCTGTATAACGTGATCAGTATTGGAAGCACTACAGCGGTAGATGATGATCTCGCTTGCAGTTTGAGTTGATGATTGGAAATAATGACTGAAATTGAAAATGGCACTG